AGGCAAATAACATATTGGCAATCAGTGGCAAAGTATATTTGTACAAATCGATATTACCTGTGCGAATACTTTGGTCGAAAAGAACGTAGTTGTTAAGTTAGATTTGACATATAACAAAAAGTCTTACAATATTACTATAAGTCAAATATTCACTGGAATGAACTTGCCATGTATGGCATAAGAAGTTAATTAATAAATATGAAATGTTTTAAGAAAATAAATAAAGTCTTTCATTTTCATATGAAATCTCATTGAATATGTAATCCAAAAACTGAGCTGGAGCAGTAACATCGTTATAACTGCCCCAACCCAGGTACCATACCACACACATAATGTGGGCACAACAACCCACCGTTCTATTGCCCACGAGACAGTTGCAGCAATAGCCTGATAAAGCCTCGACACTATTGGCAACATGTTCATCTTTACTAATCTGTAAATACGCATATGTTCTGCTAGACTTAATTCTTCCTCTGAGAAAACAATTATTATTTGTGTCTAGAAAAAGAGGGATATCTTCTTCAATTTCATTATTAATTTCTATTGTGTAAGTGCCATTCGTTCGCACATGTTCGCCATAGTATGAAAAAGCCTGCTTTAACTGGTATGTACCCAATGCAAGCCTTTTCAAGTCGCTTATGCTAAGTCTTGGGAAATTATTTAAATGTGGATGGTGAGCGTCATTGGTTACAAATGTAGCTCTTTGTCTATTTAGATTTTCTCTTCTGACAGTATCAGAAAAAACATTATCCATATGTAATCTACGTACTGCAATTGCCAAATATTCTGCGGTTTCCGGCATATCTTCTATAAGTGGGTGGAATCTATTTATTAAGGCGTAGCCGTTTCGAAAATCAGTCATTAAATGTTTGACTGCCTTATTAAAAAACTCTTGGCGAAATAATTTGAAATTCCGTTTGAGTCGACCATTGACCACTTCAACCACCCACCTACACATGGCTATACACCTTGATTGTTGTAAGCTTGCATTGTTGTAAATTGCTTGATGCTCGCCTTCTGACAAAGACTCAGTCATATGAGCTTAATAGTCATATTCTATCAGCTGTAGAATTACATCCCTGAAACCTCTATATAAAATAAATATATCCCCCTCTCGGAAATATGATCTAATTTCACCATCACTATTTCTAAATTCATTGCTCATAATAGAAGCATCATTAACTATAGCTTTAAATGGACCTAAACAGTCTAGAATATGGCAATCACAGCAAACTATCATGAACGGCTTTACCAAGTTCAGATGCTTATGTATACTATAGGATTCTTTTTGGAACAAGTAGTTGCTGCTGCTTTGAACATATACAGATGTAGCATCACAGATGACAATAGCAGGTCTTATATCAGGAGCAGTATTAGGATTACCAAATAATCCTTCTGGTATTATTTTATTCCTAGCGGCAACTTCTTGTACTGTCATATGATTTAGGCCTAAATGCAAAGGTACCATTTCGTGGCTCATACAGTTTCTAGCCTTATTCGTATTTCTTTCCAGAGTGCTTCGAGGCATTTCAAATAAAGAACTGAGCCTCACATTACTGTCGCCAGTATGCAGTTTGGCCAAATAAATTAACGCCACCAGGGATGTTGTGGATGCAGATTTTCTCACATCCGCGGACGCGGATGCGGCTGCGGATTTTAAGAGGCTCACATCTGTACATAAAACTTGTGTGGTTAGGGTAAAAAAATATCCTTTCTTTATTTAATAATAAAGTAGTGCATGAATTACTATTACTCAAAACAAGCAACAAGCGTGTTGAAACAAAGTAAACTCTTCGGGGTGCATTGATTTTAGATGATTTTATAGCGACGATGTAGTTCGACCCATTCGAGAATATGTTTTATTACAGATAATTTACACTGAGATTTATTCCGGTCATTTTGAACAGGATTGAAATAGGTCCAAATTTCACTTTGCGTGGGTGGTGGAATTTTTAACAAAAAGCCCAATAAAGAAGTTATAAACTTGTTATTAAATATTAACAACAAAACAACAAAAGATCGCGTCAAATCTTGTCACAACACATATAATAGAGAGGCGCGTCACCGTTTAACAAAATTAGCTATCACGCGCCATTCGTCGGGCCTGCTTCTTTCTTTCTTATCGCGACCTGCTACACATAGGCATCCGCAGACGCTCCGCATCGATTTTTGCGGATGCGGATGTGAATATTCGCAACATCCCTGAACGCCATACTTGCAGAAAGCACTTCATTTTGCAGACTAGGCAATTTTAATAAAAAGTTCATGGAACTGGGCAGCTGTAAGTCCAAGCCAATAATGGCAGAGGTTAGGGGGGAGGGGGGGTCCTACTGATGTCATTGAAGTCTAGTCTTTTTAGATTAACTCGCTCCATCATATTCAGCATGTGATCCGTCTGTGCTGCAGTGAAGTCTCTAGTGTTCGATTGTAACTGGTCCCAGCAATCATTTTCTAAATGATATCTGCATATGCGAGCCGAAGGTGGAATATACAATCTATAGCGACATTATAACATTTCCTTCTCCCTTAGCAATAACCCTTCGTCATTTTACATATCCAGAAAATATACAATGCACACTCTATAATGTGGTCTTCCAATTTCAATTGGCTGCCAAGGATAAGTCCAAAGCTTTTTGCTGTGTGTACGAGCTCAATGAGTTCACCTTGAATGTTTATGTTGGTACTTCACCATGGCAGGTTCTTTTTTGTACCAAATAGAACTAGGACTTGGTGGGATTTAGCATTAGGCAGTTCGATATGCACCAGTTTGATATTTTTTTAAGTCTTCATTAATTTTTGTTACAGCATGGGCATGTTACTCTGGTGAAAATGACAAATATAGCTGAAGGTCAGCAGCGTAGAGATGGTGTTTGCAGTGGCCAATACTATGTGTGATGTCTGCACCATATAAAATATAGAGAATCGCCCCAAGAATGGATCCCTGCACTACACCTAGGGTTGCCAACTGTGTGGATCAGTATTCCGGGAGGTAAAATAAAAATCAATGAAAATCGAATATTTTTATTTATAATTGTATTTTTTTACACTGCGAGCAGCTTGTAATGCCTTTTGATTAGTTACAATAAAATCATAGAATTCATTACAGGTATAATTGTAGTTTGTGCACACTTGTATTTCAGATTTCACGTGAGTTTCATTCAGCCGATTTCGACTTTTCGACCACAGTTCGTTCACTACGCTGAAAACACGCTCAGCAGCGGCGTTTGCGATAGGGATCGATAGAGTGAATGTAACCAATTTCTTAATTTCTTTACCAGATTCGTCCTTACATTTTTCAAAAGAATTAACCCAGCGCAAGTCTACCCTCTTTGTTTTGCTTGCCACGACTTCACGAATCTCTCGCAGTAAACAGTAATCATCGTATAGTTTATCTTCATTTATTGGCACATTCAGAGAAGCACCCAGATCTTTTAATTCATTCCAGTCAATTTCTTCGTCCATTGTCAAAATGTTCACTTTCTTGTAAATAGAGTCATCGAATTCGTACCACTTATGCAAATAAGTCAAACATCGCTCCAAATATTTGTCCGCATCTACTCTAAAAGTATTTTGATCAATCTCCGTCAACTTGTTCAGGCATTGGGTCGCTGACTGTCCGTAGAACTTATCATTCTTTCTATTAGTAATTTTGGTTCGTAACTCCGTCATAATCGTGTGTAGTTCAGTGCATGTAATATAGTCACTTTCCAGTTTTTTTATAGAAATATCAAAGACTTGCATAACATTGTGAATAAAATAGCAGTAGCATAATGGAAGACAGTTTTCATCTTTAAAGGCCCTCCAAATTATTATAGCACATTCATCTTTGCCTTCATTAAGAAAATATTCTCTCAAAACCGGCCAGTTTACAAGAAGTCTGTCTAAAGCTGGCAGCAATGAAAGCCATCGTGTAGGCACATGGCGGAGGATAGTTTTGTACTCTAAATGTGCAAAATCGAAGAATTCCTTAAGTTTTGCAGTTCGCTTGGCAAACGCGGAAAATTCGCTGTACACTTTCAACACCAACGACTCTACATCAAACTGTAATGCTTTTAAAGCATGTTTGTTACAATTATGTAAAATATGGCATTTACAATTCGCTTTCAAAATATTTGGATTTTCAATTTTAAGTTTTTGAAAAACTGAGTTATGAATCCCATAGTTGACTGAAGCATTATCTGCAGATAGTGAAGATACTGATGCCCAGGATACGCCATTTTCTTGTAAAACTTTACAGAGTTGTGTTTTAATGGCTTCACTAGTTTCGGCAGGGTCTTGATAAAAGTCAAGTAAACCTTGTTTCAAACCATCTCTGGGTGAAAACCATTGCACCGTAACTGGAAACATTTTTAAATTTCCTTTGTTAGAAGAATCAGTGCCAATAGAAAAATAGGTCGAATCATGCAATTCGGATAACAGCATTTCTTGCGACAGTGGCGCTATGACATTTTCACAAATAGTTGTAGCTTTAGTTCGACCGCATGCTATTTTCTTCGCAACTTCTGAATCAGGAAACAACGTAGAAAACAACTTATTGTTACAGTCTTGACTCGAGTAGCTGTGATGATGTTTAACTCCGTGATATACAGATGTAACTTCTGTGGCAGTTACTAAATCTTCTTCTCGTGAATGTTTTTTCACAAAAAAACTAGAGACTGATGGCATTGAAGACTTATTTTTTAGAAATAGCTTATGTTTCTTACCTTCCGAATGCACAATCAGAGCTCTTTTGCCTTCGTATTTTATTACAATATCACTTTTGCATAATTTACATTCAGCCGTGAAAACATCTCTTTTTTTAATCCAAGTACTGAACAGAGGATCTTTCAACCAGTTTTCATCAAAGCTTGTGTGATACTTAAGTTTTCTTTTTTTCGGCGGTGTCTGCTGCGTTGAGCTCTCCGAAACCGACATTATGCTTTAAACAACAAGCAATTGCGATCGCATAAAATTTTTATAAACACAAAACGCAGCCTGTGTCTTTCCCGCTAACTACGCAACTAATTAAGATGGCCGCGCGCGCCACAGCACAGAGTCGCTCGCTCGCCTACCCCGCGCTCACCCGCCGCGCCCGCGCTCACGACAGCCACGCCACTACACCCCGCCTCGCCCCGCCGCGCCGACCCGCCCGGCCACCGCGCGCGGCAAACTATCGAATGAAATATCCGGGAGATTTTAGCTGTGTTCCTGGAGCCGGGAGACTTTAAAAATTAATTGCCTTTTTACGGGAGATTCCCGGAATTCCGGGAGAGTTGGCAACCCTAACTACACCCCTAGTCACTGGGAGTCGGGTTGACCTTGATTTGGACCCATCGGCCATAGTAAGTTCCACATACTGCATTCTATTTGCTAGCTATCGAACCATTTCAAAGTTTTAGCATCTACTCCGTAGTAAGATAACTTGGATAACAAAATGCTTGTATTAATTGAGTCGAATGCACGTGAGAAGTCCAGCAACAATAGTGCGGTGATATAATATATATAAACGAAAGTTGTAAATCGAGTTTCTAAACGCAACATAAAGTGACATTTGGTTGACGATTTAGGTTATCAACCATACATAGCCAAAGCTCAATAAATGAAAAAAAATATCAACCAATATTAATTATCAATATTTGTTTAAAAATGTTTGATTTTTATTCTATAATTAGCTGAGTGCTAAAAAAGTGTTCCGAGATTTTTTTGCAAACTGTACTTTACAAGCGACATTTGACAGATGGAGGTCATTGGCTTGCCTATTCTTATTAGAATCGCATTATACATACTTGGTACATAATAATTTCTAAATAAATAATTTATTGATTAATGTAATATATGTGAGCTTAGAAATAAACCCATGTTACACGCATTTATTTTCATCAATGCATTCATATCAATTAGATACATATCTAATTAGGAAAATGACCTGTTTACATTGGGTATTAAAATTATTTTTCAAGGAATGAAAAGTCTGTAGGTGCGTTTATTTTTACCGTGCTTAATGAACTCATAATGCAAAGCTTATTCGATAAAAAAGGAGAGATATCTAGGATAATTATCTAATACCAAGAATATTAATACAATACAACAATATGAAAGGACATAGGAATATTTATTTGATAATAAGTAGATACATTAAAATAAAACACTTTTTTTCTGATTTGCTTATTCATAATCTTCATTTTCAACATCTTCTCTTATTAATATATAGTCAAGGAACTGTGCAGGTGGTGATATATCATTTCGATGCCGAGCCCAACTAAGATACCAGACCATAGTCACCACATGAGCACAGCTTCCAACTGTTCTCTTACCAATTATACAGCTGCAATAATGTCCACAAATACAATCTTGCCAATCAGTGGCCTGTACTTTTAACAATATATATGTGTATTACACGTTATTGCTTTGGTGTCGTGACTTAATTCTGTCTCATGCGATAACGAAATGCCTGCAACATTTGTAATTATCACATCATCACTTACTTCTATAGAAAAAGTACCATTTACTCGGATATGTTCCCCATAATAAGATCTGGCTTGTTTTATTTGATAAGTTCCTAAACTGAACAATATCAGATCTGACATTTCCATTATGGGGAACATATCCAGCTGTGGTAATTGAGCATTTATTTGCACAAAATTGGCTCGGCGTCTATTAAGCTGATGCATAATCACATGGTCTGCTAAATAATTTTGCACATACATTTGTTGAGTTGCTCTTTCTAATATACTTTGAGCATCGGGACGGTCAGTAAAAACGGGATGGAATTGGTTTATAATTGCTCCTGCAATTTTAAAGTCATCCATTAGATTTTTAGACCTAAAATATTTATTTCTGAATATTTTAAAATTCCGTTTAAACCGACCGTTTACAACTTCCACAACCCACCTCCACAGTGTGACAAGACGTGACTTGTTGGCTTTATCCATGGACCAATGAGTTTTCCCTTCACTCAGGGTGTCCGGTTTGTACACATTATAATTTAAAGAATTAAGTAGTGGAATTGAATCCCTAAAACCACGGTCAAGGATAAACACATCATTTTGTCTGAAATACTGCCTTATGGGTGATCTTTCACTTTGAAATAACTCTACCATGATGGTAGCATCAGATGTTGTAGCTGCATATGGACCAATTATATCTAAAATGTAACCATCAATGGCTACAAGCAAAAAAGGTTTCACAAGATTTGCAAACTTATGTAAGCTATAACATTTTTTTTGAAATAAATAATTTGATGATTCTTGGAGATATATATGTTCCATCACAAATTATAATTAAATTATTTTCTGGTGTTCCAAACAGACCTTGTGGTATCAAGAGATTTCTGTTGGACAGGCTTTCTCTTGATATGTGATTAATACCTAAATGTAAAGGTACATAAAAATATTTGAAACAATTACGTGCCTTTTTTATATAAATGTTTGCAACTGATTTTGAAATGCACATTAATGATGCAATTCGTCTTATTGGCTCGCCAGTTCTAATTTTCATAAGGTACAGTCCTAAAGCTGTTTTTGGTTTACGGCATAATGCTCATAACTGATTTATACAGCTCAGAATGGTTAAAAAAAACATATAATTTGTGATATAATTTATACTTCATATTTTTATGGCTTTTAATTAAATGTAGTTTGGTGTTCGTTAGTTTACTCTTATAATAAAAAACCAAGATCCTTGTAAAAAGAGGACATCTCCTTTCTGTAAAAAAGAGGTGCTTACCCCACGGCTGACCAAAATAAAATGCTAATTGAATTAGTAAACGAAGACGAAGAATTATGAAAGAATTATTTATTATAAAATCCTGTTTAGCCCGCCCCAAAGATAAAGTTGTCTCTCGGTGTCAAATTAATATGCGGGGCAACGTCAACGTTTCCCAGAATTTTATCACCCTCATCTACTTCTGGGAGGTCTATGTTATTGGCCATGCGCTAGTTATGCAGCACTGTGCAGGCATTTATAATTTTTGTGGCCGTAAAGGGCTTGTAGTGTAAGACCCTATCTTAAAAAAGGCAGCGGAATCTGACTTTTAAAACACCATTCAGTCTTTCCACTGTAGCGCGAGTTGTTTTTAGTGCCTCATTGTAACTATGTTCTGCGGTGCCTTCATCAGGGTTAGATAATGGAGTCAACATCCATGGCCTCAATACATAACCACTATCACCTGCAACGAATGCATTGTAATAAGAACTTTATTCACACCAAAATCAATCCAAAACTCACTCAATCAAATACAGCTGTACATTTGTTATTTACAGCCTGGCGGGTTAATATTTACTAATTAGACAGTAATGAAAGAGTTACTGACCTTTGCTTAGACCCTACAAGGTATATTTTTCACTAGTGGCCCGCCCTCGTTTCGCTTCGGTATTTTATCCCCTTGGGGTTAGAATTGATCAAAAGCTTCTTAGCGGATGCCTACGTCATAACATCTATCTGCATGCTAAAACTCAGCCCAATCCGTCCAGTGGTTTGAGCTGTGCGTTGATAGATCACTTTGACCGTCAGTCACCTTTGAGTTTTATATATTTTATATACTATATAAAGATGCTTACCAATTAAATGGTAATTCTGGTGGCCAGTCCTGAGTCCAACAACCTGGGAGTTCTTCCATATGTAACTGTCTTGGATGCTTCCAGGAAACAGAGCATCGACATTACGTATTTTCAATTTCGCATCGCATATCTGAAATAAATATTGTTGATGTATATTGGGATAGCTCATTTATTTTGTAGTTATACTGAACCTCTAATAATATATACAGCTTTAGTACATACTCGTTGGCCGTTAATAGAGTGATAATTTTTTCTATTCACATAAGCTAGTTCATCACATGCTTAATATCCCCGAGTTGGTGGTGGCACAATTGCAACAGGAGTGCTATCTATGCAGCCCACTACACCCGGAAATTGGTATATGTCATAAAACCTGGAACAGTAATAGGCAATAATATTATTTGTTGGTCATAATTATATAGGGATCACAAAACTGACTACGAATTTAAAAGGCATTTACCAATATAATTACCAATGTTGGTACTTTTAAATTTGCTTATATATTTTTACTTACTCCCTAAGAACAGCATTGAGTTCTTGGTGTGTACGGGAAAAATGAACCCAATGTTTAACAATAACCTCATTGTTTAAGGCATTAATTACATCTCTAATACATCTTGACACCGACGGCTGTGACAAATTAATTATATAGCTGTTGCCAACGGGTGTTTGGTAACTTCCTGTGGCGAAGAAATTTAAAGCACAAAGCACCTGAAATTTAAATAATACAACAATTTAAATACATGTTATGCTAATTCACTTTAATTTGAGAATACTGACAAAATTATTTCCTACAGATTACATTGTAAATTACAAATTACTCACTTTGGTTTAAGGTCTATTTCTTTTTGTTCGATAAAAGGTTCCACTATAAACATCAGATTTCACACCAAATTTTTGTTTAAACGAATTTTTTTTATGAAGTCGTCGTCCCTCATTTCAAAAGTAGCAATAATTGGCAATGACACTATAGAATAGAGCAAAATGGTTTTCCTTCGATAAAAGCCAGTTCATTCGATATATATTGAAGGTGATATAATATCTACGCCGCGAGAATTGGGCTCCTGGTCGATAGATAGGACGTCGTGGCCTCGTGCATGGCTTCCAAGGCCACTGGATATTACACCCCTGGACGTTTATTTATGGGGACATGTTAAAACAGTGGTGTACAGTGGCCGCGAAATCACAAACCGCGACATGCACAAGGACAAAATAATTTGGACCGTAGTTTTGGCATGAGTTAATGAACAGCTGATTTTTAGATGTGGTCTCGTGTTGGTTGTGAAGGTAACTATTTGAACGCTATCTGCGCGATACTCACCGCCATGCCCGAAACTTGAACCTCAGAGGTAATAATTTGTAAATATTATTTAAATTGTAAATTATTTAATTATTGTAAATACCTTGAATACACACTTTCAATACGCCTGCATTAAAAATTAAATTGAACAACAAGTACCTAGCGAACAATATTCAGTATTAAAGGTGTAAGTAACTTGAAAATTATAAAGAATGATTTCGTTAATCGTTTTATTATATTTTTGAGTTTTAGATGGCTAGGTATTTATTAGCTTTTGATTTTTTAATGTAGCGAGTCCTAATCCCAGTAAAGTATGAAGGAACGAGGATTCAACAAGCATAAATTAGATATTATCGCGTGAAAAAAGAATCATTATTTTCGCGCGCGAGCGTTATACAGTTACAAATATCACGACAGTATATTAAATCTAGAAAATCATTTTTGATCTATGTATTGAGTTATGTTAAAACTCGTAGAATAAACGTTGTTGTATATGATGTTAGCTATCTAGTCCTGCGGGTTTTCTGGTATTTTAAAAGTAACCCTGTCTGTTTTGTCATGTTCACCTTAATCGTCTAATCCCTCTACTTTATCATTTGCTACGTTATATATAAGGCATAGTTTTAATGAAACTTCGTCAAACGTTAAGCAGCAAGTTTTTTTCATTATCACTTTTGTTTCCTGCATACTTATTCAAGTTTGTTAATACTAATTCATGAATTCCTGTTCATATTAGGATTTTTTAATGATTTTATACTAGGTATTTGCTGATCTTTCGAAAAATGCAGACATTTTAATCTCAGTGGCACAGCGCCAACCTCGAGATTTTTAAGTATCGCTTTTCATGGCATCGTAAACTAGTAAAGTGTGTTTCTAAAGTTGATGATTGTATTTTCGATTCGATAAGCTTTGCGCTCTTTCCTATTGATGCCAAAGTGCATTTTATTCTTTCAACTGAGAAAACAATATTGTTTTTCTATGGGTGAGATCTGACATAAGACACAACCATATGTGGCGCCGTTATTGAGATACATTGATATCATCGGCAGGAACTAACCGAGAAGAAAGAAAATCTCTCAGCCACTTCATAGCGGTAAGTCCGGTGATCAACGGCCTCCAGATTCAGCTCGGGTGACGACTCTCTGCTCTTATTGCACATTATGTACGAATTAAGTACAGGCTCATTAAACAGTCGCTTAAAAAGCTTGATGTACCATTTTAAGCACCTTTTTCGTTCTATCAAATATATGGAAAGCATCTGATCTTTCAGATCGATCCCTCCCATGGAGAAATTATAGTCTCGGACGCCGGTAGGCTTTTGAAGGGTTTTGTTGTTTTTGTTGTTTTCTTTTGCGTTTCGTACGCAAAGTGCCGCGGCAGTCAATTCCTTTAGATTTAAAATTTCTATTTTATTTAAAAGTAGTCCATGGTGTGACAGTGCCCTTTCCTCTCAAAGCCTTCAATCAGCTCTAATACTATTTTTGTGGTCTTTCCACCAAGATCAGAGCTGATAGAAACGACATCACGGTCGACGTTTGAAGTATGTGATTTGCCAGTATAGATTTGGAATCTATACATGTAGGGTAATGGCACCAGTGGTCAGCCTTATTCCACAGTGCGTCTTAAAGTGCTAAGGAGCACGTTCTCGGGGCGTGGGGTGGCATTCCTATGTCTATCAAGGGGATCTGCCGCAACCGCTAGAACATAAACTTTCTCCTCATATTTGAGGTAGCCAACTGTATTGACTAGTTAGTTGGACTCAAATGGTAACAAATGATGAAATCCTGCGACGTGTCGGCAAGAAACGCGAACTTTGGGATACCATCAGAGTGAGGAAGGTTGCGTATCTAGGGCACGTGATGAGACACGAAAGATACGCCTTTTTACAACTAATAATGATGGCAAAGTTGCTGGAAAACGAGGTGTCGGTCGCAGGAAGAAGTCTTGGTTGAGGAACCTACGAGAATGGACTGGAATCTCGAGCGCCGCTGAATTATTCCATCTCGCTAAGGATAAGGAGACATATGCGAAGCTGACTGCCAACCTTCGTTGTTCGGAGAGGCACTAGAAGAAGAAACTGTATTGATGATCCTACGAATAGGCTCGGGTACGACGGTGACTGACTGGGCAACACGGAGCATGTCTCTAGTTACGCCCAGAGGTTTGATCTGGTTCGTCAGTCTTGGAACGACTGGTAAATCTGACTTGATGACTTCGAGTTTGGCTTCCATTAAGCCGAGGAAAACTCTGTACATAGAGTCATTTGGGACTCGGATGGTGTCCTGGTATGATATTGCGATGAATGTTAAATGGCATAGACCAAGTCCGATTCCTCGTGTTGTAATGGAAAGCGTAATCGCCTTCAAAGTCTGTTGCTCGCTTAAGCGAGATCCTCTTCATGTGAACCTACAAAGAGCTTTTTCCGTATCTCGTCTTGGAGTGCATTGACGGTATCTGCTCCTTTCGTGCGTCGCATCTGATTGACGCGACCACGTTGGTAAGTCCTACGACCGCGTGATTGGCGGTTCTTGCCACTGCGTTGGCTGGTAGAAGTATTATTTTCAGGTAAAGTTTCCATTTTGTATCAGCAATGGGGGTCTGCAATCAGTTAACCCTAAAAACTTTGGCACATACTTCTGAAGCGCAGCTAAGAAGGGAGCGATTAACATCGACTCGCGTCGGAAGTCGAGTTTACTTGGAGATTGCGAGTTATCATTGCTCAATGGAATGGAAAATATTTAGGATTCTATAATGTTGCCTACATTATAGAATCCTAAATATTTTCCACGAGGACAAATTGTTGCTTTGATCAAACAGTCAGGATGTGTACAAGACAAGGATCGCAAAGCTAATCGTCGTGGCTCTTCTTTCATCCAAACTATCTGGTGAACCTTCAAAGTACCTGGAAACGTTTTTAATTGGTCAGGAAGAAGCCAGTCTTTTTCGATTATTTTGTAATCTTCTACTACTTCTATTTTCACACCTTTAACTGTTGTTTTGAGGTTCTGAACTAAAGTGTCGAGGTCGGCGATGTCTTTTCCATACGCAACCAGCTGGCAGCAGCAGCCGTACACCTTTTCTGATCCCATAGTTGCCTTCTACTACACTCACTGGAGGATATGGTTTGATGCTATTCTACTCTGCTGGCATCACATGGCTGGTAGAAGTGGATACATGATTTTAAAAATCTAATATAATTTTAGGTGGTGATGATGCAGAATTATTTAGGAATAGGAAGTCCTACATATCTATAAATATGCAGAATTTGTGATGCCAATTTGTAGATTACTGATGTAGTTGCAAGATGGCCAGGTTCTACTCATGATAGTAATATACTCGTATACCAAAACAGTAATACGGGATCCTATGGTACTGCCTATCTCCTAGGCGACAGTGGATATCCCTTAAAGGTACTCATAAACTTAAAATAAACAGTAATGAAACCATTGTATTGTAATTAATCAGTATAATTATGCAAAAATATTATACATATTTAATCTTTTAGTGGTACACCAAACAAACTCTTCATATTCATTGCGTGTGTGTGAGTGTGTGTGTAGTTGCTGCATCACCCACAAGTGATCTACGCTTGCGGCGGATCGGTACCTGTGGGGGGGAACCCGGCAGCTTTTGTGATGTTTGCTCAATTTGGGCATTTTTGCCAGTTTCTGAGGACATGTTTGTTTGTTGTAATTGACTTAACTCTATTGGTACCGAAGGTGTTTATTCTAATTCCGAAGAAATTTTCTTCGAAATCCAATTTTTGTGAAAGTTCTGTATTTTTTGAAAAAATCCAAAATATCGTCTTTGTTTTTGAAAAATTTTAATATTCAAGTGGTCGTCCCGACAGGTCTCCCCAAGACCTACACTCTGACACCTTACCTGTCTCTCTACGTCCAGCACTTCCGGAGATATACCCAAGGTAGTTTTAGGGTAAATCAGGTAGAAAAAGGCAAAAATCCGATATCTCCGAAAGTATTGACCGTCCAGAACCGGGTAATCGGATCTTCCCAGAAAGCAGCTAGAGACCTATGTTACCCCATGGTCAATAGGATTTTTTTCCAGGGTAGGCGTAGGGTAAGTTTACCCTACCAAGGTGTTTGGTTAGGTCCGGGGCTGCCCAAAGGTGAAAACCCCGCGTTCCCAGCCTAAATAGTTCAGAAGTTACAGCACTTCAAAACTTTCCAAAATGGCGATCCAAGATGGCGGATCAAATTTTGAGGCGCTGTATCTCCGGCGCTACTTGGGCCAAACGCACGGTGCTTGGAGTCTTTAGGGTTAGCACGACGAACCCCCTCTGGTCGACTTATAAAAACAAGGGGGAAAATCCCTCCCCACGGATCCTGACTTCAACCTCCCGACGGCCCAGGTTATTGCTCTATAGTCCCGAATCTCGAAAAGCGGAGTTTCTAAGACCAGTATCTCGGGAGATACGGGCAGAAAACTAAAAACAAGGTGGCCGACCAAAATGGCGCCCAACACTTTAAAAAATTGTAACTCTGGAAATACTCGTCACAGCGAGATGGGGTTTTCTTCACCGTGTTGAGCTGGTCCCGCTCTACCCTATGAGCTACCCTAATTTGAATTAGGAGGGTAGATGCTCCCTGGTAAAATTGGGTATGGGGGCCTAAAGATGGTGATAATTTAGCCCCTATAACGAAAACCGCTCCGCCGTAGGTGAGAAATTTAGCGAGTTATTGCAATTTTAAATATTTACCTTTTAGGAACAAAATGGCCGCCGGAAGGTAAAGTTACAATTTAATGGCTAGCGCCTTTTAATTTGGGTAAATATATATGTATTAAGGTGTTGTAAAACGTATAACAAAGAGAAAAAAAAATGGTTGCCTGTAAAGTCGGTTTTACGGGCGAAGATTTTACGTGACAACGTCTTTTTCTCGGTAGAATATTTATTGATATGAATATAATTAAATTGCACAATAGGAACAAGGAATTGAATGAAAATAAGAATTGCACAAATTTTAACTATAGAAATATATATAATACGTCAAAAAAACATATTACAATGCATTGTGCTTGTGAATACCATCGTAGCATGCAACCACGCTACGACGATTCGTAGCAAACTTGCTACACGGCTACGGGGTTCCAGCATGCTACGAGACTCATCGTAACGTTACCGAGCGTTACACTTTTTCATAAGTGACTCCCAGCCGCAACCTAATTTAAGACGTTGTCACGTCAAAAACTTAAAAACTAATAATAATATTCTACCATGTAAAGGAGCAGAATATGTGAAAATACCTTAAAACAAGAAAAATAACTATACTAAAATTTTTTTCGACGCGGGGAATATTAGTTTATGGTAATATGCACTTGAAAACAAAATTCTGGGTCTAAGTGATGAGAGACCACGGAGATATTCGAGTCGATGATTCTACCCCAAACTTTGAGATAAGATATCTCCCGATGCACTGGATTTTGAGGGGAGCTCTTTTTGCCGATATGTAAGAGCTAAGTAGCGTCTACCCTCGCTCCTCTTGAAAAAGTGCGCCTCTCTTAGTAAAATAGAGTGATATCCTACCCCAAAAGTTTTACTTAAGCTAAAACTGACTAAGCTCCGTGGTCCTATGGCCGATTTTTGATCGCGAAGCGTCGTTGAGCTCGCCGCGATGTCGCCCGTCTTCCTGCACCTTCAAAATTTCCCAGATCTGTCCAGGAGTGAGACCACGTGTTTGGAGGTTATTCTCTTTTCAGAGAATAACGCCGCAGTCCTCGCTGTGCTTCCGGTTGAGATTCCGATAGGTTGGGCGCGCTCTAGCGCACCAAACGACACCTCGCACCAAACTTAACTCCTTATGTTTTTCGAACCACAGTTCAAAACATGCAATTTTAACACTTTAACCACGTGCACCAATCACTTTTCGGTGAATAACTTTGCAACCACTGCACCGATTTCAACTTTCGGCTTTCAACGCAATTTATTGTCACAATTTTTTGATAATATGAGAAATTAAAATTACATAAAGAGAAAATCATTACATCAAAATATTTATTACCTTTTATTTGACTTAACACCTCAGCTTTCATTTCTAATTCCTTTGCTGCAGCTTGTACACCCAGATGTTTTGCTTCTAACTCCTTCGCTGCAGTTTGTAGTTGCTGGTTGCGTGGGTGATGCTAAATATTTGTTTTTTATAATGGACTGTAAATTTAAAATTGGCACAATAATCAAAGAAAGGAGATTTCGAACTGCGTGGATTAAAAACAAAAGGAAATAGTTCGAAACCAATAAGGAAGGTTGCACAATACCTTGAATCAACGGCCAGTCCAGAAGCTCCCGAGGTGGACGCGTCGAGCCGGCTATCCAAAACCGAACTTGGGTTCGTGGCCGGTTGATATTCTTATGGGTAACACCAAATGGGTAGTCTTGCACTTATTTTTACAATGAGAATCACTCGAACTATAGTTTTTGTTTATCAAACGAATTAATTACGAAGAGCGCGATTTACGGCAGCCATTAACAAAAGGTGCGGATTTGCTAAGAGGGATGTTAACTACAACACCCGCTAGATGTCCCCAGTGGACATTCGTCGTCTCACTCTTGCATGCGAGATAGGTATGTGCAGGAGGGAGATGGGAAAAGGAAATGAGTAAAGTGCCAATTTAACTATTAAATTAAAAATAAGGCGATGGGCGATTATACGAATTTTACGCGGTCAATTCAAAATGCCATACTGGCGCAACCATTCCCCCCGGCTTGAAGGGTTACCTTCAAAATAAACTAAATATCTAAAATGAGAAGCTAAATTTATTAAAAACTAACCTACTGAATCTACGATCACTATTATTATTATTTTACTAATGTTGATTAGGCAAAGGGCAAAGTCGTACAACTGGACGTAAATACGACCCAGTCGCAGTTCTAACACGTACTATTCGAGTCACCCCATTAGACCCTGGAAAAGTTTCTTCCACTACCCCTAAGGGCCAATGCAAAGGTGGCGTGTTCTCAGTTAAAAGAATAACAACAGTACCGACAGTAATCGGGTTTGACGGAATATTCCATCCTTGCCGGGACTGTAGGGTATGCAAATAGTCTGTTCTCCAGCGCTTCCAAAACGACTGAACTAATCTATCTAATAAGGCATGGCGCGACAGAAGATGAAGCCGATCTTCTTCCACTTCTAAAGCGGGGAAATATTTTAAAGGTGTCATATTCAAAAAATGCGCTGGAGTTAATGCAAGAGGCTCCGAAGGATCGCTAGACAATGTCCTACAAAGAGGTCTGGTATTCATTACCGCCTCGACTTGAGTGAGTACGGTGCTAAGCTCCTCAAAGGAAAGAATTTGACTACCTATGACGCGGAACAAATGTGATTTTAAGCTTTTAATATTAGCTTCCCAATTACCACCAAAATGGCTTGCAGCTGGCGTGTTTAATGACCATTCAATACCATTCTCTGCTAAAATGTGTGCAAATTCGGTATTAAAGTGTTTGGAATTTAAAAGAGTATGCAACTCTGAAATATTACGACGGGCTCCAACATAGTTTGTACCGTTGTCTGAGTACATTCGAGCTACAGGACCACGGCGCGATAAAAATCGCTTGAATGCAGACATAAAACATGGAGTGCTTAAATCACTGGCTAATTCTATATGTACTGCACGAGTCGTCATAGAGACAAATAGACAAATATAACATTTTGTGGAGCGTATGCCACGACCACGAGAAATGGTTACTCTGAAAGGGCCTGCGTAGTCCGTACCGGTATGTACGAAAGGTTTAGCGGTTTGAACAACACGACAAGAACGATGGTCGGCCATTTCGGGTGCAATCGACTTTGGACGAAGTTTGAAACAAGGAATACATCTATGAACTATAGAGCGGATCAAATTGCGTGCAGAAATAATCCAGTATTTCTGTCGTAAGATCGACATAAGCAAATCAGGACCAGCGTGACAATTTACTTTATGGTAATATTCAACTATAAGATTAACGACGTGATCTTTTTATTTGCTCGAGCATATGAAGCTCGGCTCTAAAGCTATTCCACAATCTAACGACATTATCAGGAGGTGTATCATCCCAATCACAGTGAGACAACCAAAGATCCTTGATAAGGAGCTT